CCCGTCTGCTTCTGCCCCATTTTGTGTTTTGCCTTAAGAGACTACTTCCCCTCCTCCCCCACCATGCCAGTCTCCCACCCGTGCGGCCCTACCGCATGGCAATTTCAATTTACGTGGGGTGGGAAAGACTCTGCAAAGGGTCCTTTTTTGTTTTTGAAGAATTCATCATCGCAGCTAAGAAGCTTAATACAAATTAAAGGAGGAATTAGGCAACATTAAGACATCAAAATGGGGGTGCCAGGCGCCTGCTGCCGGCGCTTCCGCCCAATCAAAGGGGCCGCGTGCGCTGTGGAGTGCGCGCTTGAGAGCGCCTCGGCAAGCCACAGTTCTGGGAAGGGCCCGTTCTGCTGCCGCCTTCCCTAATTCCTTTTGTTGCAGGGACAGCAGAGTCCAGGTCTGATAAAAACTTAATCACCTTATCTTTTTCAAGCAAATTGCATCTTTGTTTACATACAGGATCCATAGCAGGGAGGGAAAGAGGAGGAGCCGGGAGGCAGCCACCCCATTCTGCAAGGACCACAGGAAAAGCTTTCCCTCCCCAGGATGAGCACAGAACACAGAAACATGTACCTGACAAAGGGCTGGGGGCCTCTGTCCTCAGCCGAATGGGGCGCTAAGCCCCTCTAGTCACCTGCCCTGACTGGCTCTCCTCCCTCTTGTCTTCCTGGCCCTGGCCTCAGCTCTAGCTCCTCCCTGCTCACCCCTGAAGTAGCCACCAGACCCCCACAGTGCCCTCCCAGGGGAGCGGTGCAACCTGCACACCGTGGAACCCAGGGCCTGTGCGGGGCAGCTGCACACCTGGTGGGGAGAGGGGAACAGGTGGGCACTTGACACTGGAGCCCACTGGGCAACTCTGCAGCCATCTGAGGGAGGTGACTTCCTCCAGACAGTCCCGCCTGCTCGTCAACCCATCAGCCTGCTGCCAGGCCTGAAACAAAATTCCCCAGCCTGGCAGTCACTGACAGGATGCTGAGTCCAGAAGGAGCTCCTGCTGCTGGTCCCAGCTCTTACTGCTCCTGCTTCCGCTGCCACCTCCACAGCTGCTTGCACAGCAGGGCAGGAACTGGGTGGACCCCGTGGAGACCACTCACCCCATGCCATTCACAAAGGCTCAGTTCACACTGGGGGGTCCCAGCCAACACCCCGTGGAGACCCCTTTTCCAGCCTGGCCCCTGGCAGGAGAGCAACACCTACAGCTGCATGTGATCCGCCAGCTTCCTGGCCAGCTCAGGGCAGCAGTGTGACCACAACTCAGGGGCCAGTGAGGCCTCCCACATCTTCCTCAATTACCCCGGGCCCAAGCCGAGGCCGGAGCAGCCTCTAGCCCACTGGACCATCGTGTGGAGCTGGTTCACAGAGAGATGGGCCAGCCAGCCCTGGGTGTATGTCCCCAGGGTAAACCTTAGTAGCAGCGTCACCCCAAGGTCTACAGCCTGGGGTCTAGGCTGGAAGCAGAGTGAGACAGCGCCACTTAAAAACCCCAAGGCCTATTGAGTAATGGACCCAGGGACCAGCCTGCTGTCAGAGCTGAGCCACATGTCTGGACAGGCGTCTTCCCACCAGAGAAGCAAGACTCTCTTGGGATATTGTCTGCTGTCGTGCACACCTGGGTGTGTGTGTGTGCATGAGAGCACACCTGTGTAGGGGGGTGTTTGTGGGCACACCTGAATGTGTTATGTGTGATCATACCTGGATGTGTGTGTGTTGGTATGATGGGTGTGTTCATATGAGCATACCTCTGTGTGTGTACAAACCTGGATGTGTGCATGTAAGCATACTTGTGGGGGAGGTGCTTGTGAGCACACCTGTATGTACATGTGAGCACACTCTGGTATAAGTGTGTGTGTGTGTGAGCACACCCTGTGAGAATGGTATAAGTGTGTGTGTGTGCGTGAGTGAGCTTACTTGGGTGTTTGCGTGTCAATAAGCATCCGTACATATTCCCTTCACTTCCCTCCCGGAGCCCTCAAGTGCCAGGCCCACTCGGGCCACAGGGGAGAATGGGCACTAAAACAGTGGCAAAATGGCAGTGGGGGTGCCCTGAAGGAACCTCACCCTGCCGCACCCAGAGAGACCCGGACAGAGCTCTCCAGCACTGGGGAACCATGTGTGCAGAGGCTAGGCTCACTGGGACCTGGAAGCAGAGGCTTGGGGGGCAGGGGACAGACACAGAGGAAGGCAGACATGGCTGGCACAGGACCTTGAATACCAGGGAAGGAGAGCCTCTCTCCTAGGGGCAGAACCAAGCCCAAGGGTCCTGCGGGGCTCAGGGCAGCAGGGGTGAAGGCACGGAGGCGGACCAGTCACTGCTGTGACCTCAGACCCCATCCCAGCCTCAAGCTTTCCCCAAGTTCTTCCTTGCAGATGTGAGGGGCCATGAAGCCACCACCACTGGCCTAGAGATGTCACTCTGCCCACCTCCCATGTGGTGCTCTATCCTGCAGCCTCAGTGGTTCCACCTTGCCCTCAGAACGGCCCCGGGACCTCAGCCCAGCTGCTTGCTCTTGTTCATGGCAGTGTTGAGGGTTACCTCTGCCAGGCTGCGCTGGCAGTCCCATGCACGGCCCAAATAGCCTATTGGATCACGCCCTGGAGGTGGGTGTCTCAGTTCACACTGGGATCTTCTGGGAGCTTTTACCCCTTGGGCTGTCACCAGCCAGTGCTTACGCACCTGCTCTGGAGGTTCTGGGAAAAGCAGAGAGAGGTGTGCTGCCTCAGCTGCTCACTTGTTCATATAGGGATTTTTGAGCAGCTGCTAGAAGCCAGGGTCGCCATAGGTGGTGGGTTATAACCATGAACAGGCTGACAGCAGCTCCTGCCGTATTAGAACTTGTCATTTCACCAGGGACGCTACAAACTGTTGTAAATGGTATGGGGGGTAGTGCAATGGGAATAAACAGGACAGAACCCCGGGGTTGGGAGTGGGTTTAAGCCAGGTGGTCATGAAAGTCACCAGGAGCTGACATTTGGACAATGCCTTGAAGGAGGTGGCCTCATTGCGGGAGGCTGATGTGCAGGGAGGCACAGGGCTGCAGTGCCCTGGCAACATGGGCCCAGCAGGACTCTGTGGGGTCCTGGAGTGCCTCAGAACTAGGTCCAGGAGAGTGGAGGGCAGCAGGGCAGGCCCAGGACCCGCAGGACATGGGTGCCAGGCAAGTTGGCACTTAGCTCATGACTGCCTGCCTCGCCCACAGGGATCTCAGGTTAGCCCCTGCAGTGGTCTCCCCGGCAGCTCCCTGTGGTGGTCTCAGGGAGGCCAGGGCACAGCCACAGCAGCCACCCTCTGGACTGGTCACGCACGGCCCTCTCCTTGGCAGTCTCCCTGGCAGCTCCCTGCGGTGGTCTCAGGGAAGCTGGGGCACAGCCACAGCAGCCACCTCCAGGCTGGTCTCATGCAGCCGTCTCCTTGGTTCCCCAGGCCGCTGGAGCTCCCTTGCTGACTTGGTGCCATCAGCCCCTTCTTCCTATGCTTTTTAGCATGTTATTCATATTTTAACATGTTATTCATATTTTGATTTAATTTATTTGAAAGACAAAGAGACACAGAGGTCTTCCATTTGCTGGTTTGCTCCGGCAGGTGCCCGCAACAGTCCAGTCTGGACAAGGCTGCAGCTAGGAACCGAAAACTCAGTCTGTATCCCCCACAGCCGCTTGAGCCTTCATCTGCTGCCTGCCAGGCTGTGCATTGGCAGGAAGCTCAGACAGCTTCACGAATCCCTCACAGTGCTGCAACAATGTTGCCCTTGCTCCCTTTCAGGCCAGTAGACTGCGTGGCAGCCAAGCCCTGGTCTGCAGGTTCCCTGCCATTTGTCCCCATGTCCTGCACTGCTTTCTGGCCTGACCCTGGACCCCACACCACCAGGTCTCTGACTCTGAGGAGGTAGCAGCTCCCAGCTCCCAACACCCAGCACCTGGGGGAGCTCCTGCTCTCCGCTCTTACACCATACACTCACTTTAACAGCCCCTGGGGGAGTGGGCAGCTCCCGGTGACACTGGCCTAGCCTTCTGAGCTTGCTCTCCGGGCCACTAATAATGGAGCAGAGGTGAGCAACCTGGTCTTGTCCAAAGAGCAATTAGAGGCCCACGTATTCGCCCGCACCAGATAGATTTTCCGCCTCTGCCGGCCTCCGGCAGCAAGGTATGCATTGTGTGTAACGAGAGCCAATGAGGACTAGATGGGCCGCTGATTGGGCCACACCTGTCCCCCAGACGTGCCGTCAGACCTCCTGGCACCAGAGGGAGACACACCGCCCAGGCCATTCGTCAGGGTCTGGTGCCAGCCACCTTCTCTGTTTGCAGAGGGCAGCCCGGGGCTCTGATGTAGGGATGCAGATACCTGCTGCCTGGCACTCACTCAGAAGGCCTGGCCCGGGGCCCTCCCCATGCCTGAGGCCCATCCACCAAACTGCGGCTGTGGAGCCTGTGGGGCCAAGGTCACCAGGCCCCAGGGAGAACAGCCACACAGGGTACAGAACCCTCAGACCGGGGTCACACACTTCCCTGGCAGGCAGGCAGGTAGTGGGCAGCTGGCCTCCGGATCTGTCAGCATCAGCCCAGGGAACCAGGCTTTGAGATAGCCGCAGCTCCCTTCTTCCACCGAGAGGAGGCCAGGCCACCATCCCCAGCTGACACCATGAGTGGGGTACGTCCAGACTCCATCTCACATCCCCCAGCACCCAGAGCTCCAGAGCTGGCAGAACCCAAGTGTCAGGATCCGCACAAAGGCGGGTCTGCAGCCTGGCAGAATGGGCAGGGCCAAAGCCAGAACTGCTGAGTTTAAATCCTGGCTCTTCCTAGCTTGCCGTGGGGCCTTGAACTGTCTCACCACACTGTTGGGGCCTGTGAGTTCCCTCCTGGCTGGGCAAGCCCCCAAGGCCCCCAGTGTGACACTGACCTCAGGCTGGGGTATATAGGATGTCACTGAGCTGGGCCGTGGGGAGGAAGGGAATCGGTGCCTGCGTGGGGTGGTGGAGTAACGGGCTTTCCTCTGTGCCTTGTAGGCGGCCTCAGCCCAGAGACCAAGAAGATCCTGACTGCAGCTGTGAAGAAGCGGGGGCGGGCGGGCCGTGGGGAGGCCGCCCCACAGGAGGAGGGTACCGAGCGACCGGAGCCCACGCAGCACGTGGCACTCAACCTGTCTTTCAAGCGCTACGTCTTCGACACCCACAAGCGCATGGTCCAATCACCCTGACCTGCCCTGCCTTGCTGAGGCCCACACCACGCTGCAGTGCCGAATGCCCGACCAGATGTGCCTCAACCTCCCTCAGGCTCTCAGCGTGATCTTGCAGGCATCTGAGTGCTTGGTGAGAAGCCAGGGCATGGGGGATGGTGTCCTCGTTCAGCGCCAGGAGGGTCTGCCAGTCCACTGTCTCAGCCAGGGCAGCAGCCAGGCCCAGCTAGGAAAGGGCCTGGACCAGTGACAGCCAATTCTGTCTCCCAGGCTGTCCCAGCTATCAGCCATCTGGGGCCACACTTGGCCCATGCCCCCAGGTGGGCAGGTACTTGGCAGCATCTAATAAATGTCCCGTGGCCCCAGCCCACTCTGCTGGTCTCACTCTGTGGTTTCGTGGGGCCATTGACCACCACAGTTCTATCTCCAGGGTTTCTGCAGAGCAGGACTGGGCTAGGCTGGCTTCCTAGACCCACCCTGGTAGCTTCTGGGGAGTCCTGGGCTTCCAGGGGGGCTGGGGGCTAGGAGCAAGATGCTCCTCCCTGCCAACTCCAGAAATCCCTGGACCCTTCCCTCAAGTGCGGAACTACCCACACCCCACAGTGCTGGCAGTGCCCAAAGTGATGGGCTGCCTGGTGGGTGTCCAGCTCTATCCTGGCCTGTACCCACAGACACCCGCGGCTCAGAGCTGTGGGCACTCAGCAAAGGGTGAAACAGCAGAACCGCCCGATTGTGGAGAAATCAGAGCTTTTAGAGACGTTTGCGGGTGGGAACAGATGTGCAGGCGTTCCTTGATTTGCCTCCAGACGGACACAGAGGCCTCCCTTTTATCCCGGTAATCGGCGCATTATGCTTTAATTTGCAAAAATGGCATTAAAAATATTAACAGAGGCAGGTTGCGATCAAATGACTTAGGGCTGTTAAGCCCCAGAGCTGAAGGCAGAGAGGAAAAGCGAGCGCCGTCGCCGTGGAACACGGCGTCCCTGTGTGTGGTGGCCAGGGAGCCAGGAGGCCCCTAATTAAATACACCAGCAGCAGAGCCTGTCCCCCTGCTTGCAGAGCCAAGCGGCAGCAGCCGACCTGGCCACCGTTCACCTCCGTGCCTGGCCTCAGGCCATGGCCAGCACTGAGAGCAGGGACAGACAGAGCTGGGCTTCATGGCCAGGGACTCTGGCCCAGCCCCCAAGTCCCATCTCAGTCCCCGTGCTTCTGTCAGGTTATACCTTGGGCTGGAAATGAAGGTGGAGGGGCCGCGAGCAGTGTGCGGCAGAGGCAGCTGCTGCAGTTGCCTCTGCAGCAGCCAGCATTGCATGGCTGTTCTCTGCCTGTCACTAGCTCCCAAAAAGACCCCTGCCCTCAACTCCCAGCAGCCACGTCCAGCACCCCGGATACCTGTGTCCTCCTTGTCAGCCCCTTCCAGCCCTGGCAGACTTACACTCCTCCAGGAAAGCAGTACTTAACTGGCGACACTTTGCCCAAGAGACAGCCGACCTGCCTTCCCGCTAGGCTCTCCTCTGCCCGCCTGCTGGGCTGCCCCAAGGGAGCAGGCAAGGCTGTGGGTGAGGGCCCCAGGCCACGTAGACCACACTGGCAGCTCCCAGAGAGCAGAAAGGCCCTGTGCTGGCCAGCCTAGCCACCGAGACTACTGACTAGGGCTGAACTGGGTCTGGAACAATTCCTGCCCCTTAGGTAAAGGAACCTTCATGTTTGGGCATGCTCAATATGGGGCTGGACCATGATGAGCCTTGGTCCCCCCAGCTGGGCCACAGGTGTGAGGCTGACCCTCTCAGGGTCCCTATGAAGTGGAGTATCATACTGCCCTGGGCTCAGCCTCACATCCTGCCCCATACAGCTGTGTGACCTTGAGTCCATTACTGTCCCTCTCCAAATGAGGGGCCACATGACCCGCGGAGCCAGGATGACAGTTGATGGGTGGTCAGTGGTGGCGTCCGACTCAGGGCCAAGCAGGTATGCAGTGGACCTGGGAGCCCAAGCCCAGGCCCTGGCCCTGGCCCTCCCCGTTGTGGGAGCCTGGGCAGGTCCCTTACCTTGCGCCTCAGTGTCTCCATGTGTGAAATGGGAAGAAATGCAACTGCTCCCCAGGGCTGCTCTGGAGGCGCCAGACTTGCCAGACACAGTCTCGTCCCCGCCATGTTCCCTGCAGAGGCCCCAGCAGCCCTCGCGTGGCCTGCCGGTGTGGCTGGAGGAGGCCCCAGGAGAGGCTCTATCGGGCCTGGCATCGGGGGAAACCCGAGTGCCCATAGGAGGGTCAGGCCGAGGCACACAGCCTGCCAAGGGGAGCCCACCCAGGGCCAGTTGTGGGAGCCAACACCCAAGTCTGGCTGGGCCAAAACATGGATATGCATGACCCCTTCACTGGCTCCTGGCACCCTGGTTTATGGAAAGAGCCGTGTGGCCCAGCTCATTTTGTCTGCTCAGCTGGGGGAGTGGACAGGGGCTGGAGTTCAGCTGGCCATAGCCAGCTCCTCCCAGTGCAACTAGGATTGAATTCCAATTCTGCATGATGCCCCACAGTGCCTTGGTGTGTCCTTGGCAAAGAGGTGCCCTCCAGGGCCCTGCTCTGAGCAGGGGCTCGAGTGGGTGCAGGGGACCACGGGGAATGAAGTCATGGCCAGGCACCCTGCCACAAGCTGGGCAGGGGGGTGGCTGGCTATGATTGGCAGGCCCCCCCCCACCAGCAGGGCTAATGCACCAGCAACGAGATAAGGCTTATCTGGAAATGTCCCTGGAATCGAGACGCTGATGGAAACAGGCTTCTGGGTTAATATATTTTTGATAGATAACGTCTCGTAAACGGGAAGCCCTGGGGGCCCGCCAGGAGAAGGGGCAGCTTCTGTTCTCCCAGGCCCCTGCCCTGGCTGCCCGCTTGCGCGCATGGGGTCTAGCGATGACTGGCGGTACGGCTGTGGCGTGGCTGCGGCTCTCGGGCAGCATGGCTGTGCAGACTCTGTGGGCACCAGGAGGGCTGGGCTATCAGCATGTGTGACTTTGCTGTGTGCACATGGCCCTGGGGGGCACAGGGAGCTGGCACACATGTGCCCGGTGCACGCAGGACCTGACAGGATGGGAGCAGGGCTCATCACCCATTCTCCCTCCTGTGGAACTCACCTTGCTCCCCAAGCCCCTGGGCAGCCTCCATGTACAGCTGAGCAGTGCCAAGCCCCCTTCCAGAGACCAAGGCAGGCTGGTCCCCCAGCTCCTTGCTCAGCCTGGGTCTCCCCTGTGCCCTGACCAGGGTAAGGAACAGCCTCGACCTATGAGGCGGCTCCAGGTGTCTGGGAGTGTGTCAGGAGGGGGAAGGGCAGGAGCCTGGGCTTGGGCTCCGGGCGCCCCAGGGCCTGCCAGCCTGAGCAGGGGTGACACCTGGATCCCCAGTCCCTCCACCCCCACCCCACTGCGCCTCCAGGAACCTCCACACAGTCAACCCTGATTAAAAAGAGTAATTAGCGCTTGACTGATAACTGCATTGAGCCATTAATTAGCAGCTCTGCCAGCACCAGCACCACGGTGGCTGGGGAAGGGTGGGTGGCAAGGAAGGGAACGTTCCTTCTGCAAAGGAGGAGGAGACGGGCCCTCATGGGCCCCAGGGGTCTTGACAGCACCCACAGAGTATAGGAAGCCCATGAAGGGCACAGGTATGGAGGGGCAAGGGGCTTCAAGAGACCCTCCCGCTCCCAGTGCTTCCTAAGTTGCAGGTGCTAGAGGTGGACAGGGGAGAGGGAGCTTGGCAGAGCGGGGCTGGAGAAGACCCGGGCTAGTAGGCAGTGTGACAGAACGTGGCAGCAGAGGCAGGGACAATCTGGACCAAGGCCTGGCGGAGAATGAACACACTCAGCAGATCTGGGTAGAACCCCAGTGGGACACATTTGAGAAAAGCACGCAATCCTGGAGGCATCCATGGACACTGGGTGCTGGTCGCAAGGACAGAACTACCCCACCCCCACCCTGCCTCACAGCCTGAGCAGAAGGCAGAGGGGAGGGTGGCCGGTGTCCCTGACCCCACAGCCAGCGTGACCACCAACTGCCCTGGGCCCACCCAGCCAGCCCGCAGGTCAGCGGTCATGTGGCCCTGGCCCTGGGGCTCTCTGCCCGGCTAAGGTGTTGCTCAATCACACCCATCTCCTACAGTGCTGGGGGAGAGAAATGGCTGCTTCCCATGCAGTAACTGCAGCCCCCGAAAAGGCCCCACCATGGAGGGGGGACTAGGCCAGACGCATCTCAGCCCTTGAGAGACACCCCCAACAGCATCCCACAAGGTCACCCCAGGGTGCTGAGGGTACCCATGTGGTGAAGAAAGAGGCTGCTTCCCCAGGGTGGGTCCCATCAGACCCTTAAGTGAGGGGCCCCGGGCTGGCACCTCCTGTCCTAGCAGCAGAAGGCTGGGGTCTCTGGGCTACAGCTCAACAAGTCCCCTGCCTCCTCCCACACCCTGCCCATCTCTGTCCCTTCACAGACTACCTGGGTTACAGCCAAGGTCAGCTCACCCTACACCAGCCACACCCCAAAACCCAAGGTCCCACTGCTGAGATCCCCCCCTTGGGCGGCTGCAGATAAGGGTAGATGGGGAGCCCCTCACCTTCAGAGGGGGCCAGCGGGCTCTGGTGAGCTCTCCCCTGCCCTTTCCTCCCAGTGCCTGCACCCCGTCACACCCTGCTGGGCCTCCCGGGCTGTCTCCTAAACCTCCTCTGGGGCTGGGAGTAGCAGATGTGGGCTTCTGGGCAGAGGGGCAAGAGTTACCAGGCTGCTCCCACATGGAGACCCTGGAAGCTCAGATTTCCCAGAGGTTCCAGAGCTGCGGCCTAAAGCAAACCATGGGGACCAGTTTCTAACCTGGGCTGCCCCTTGCAGTTCACTCCCCAAATAGGACTTGGCCATGGCAGTTCTAATCCCGGCCCCCCAGCTGGGATAGCCACCACTGGTCATCACCACCTCACAGGTGCCCAGCATCACCACCACCACTAGCCTCCAGGATTTCTCCACCATCACCACTACTGTCAGCAGCATCATCACTAACAGCATCGTCATGGCTGCCACAGGACACCTGTCAAAGGAGAGGGGGAGGCAGTGGCCAGCAGCGGAGGCCGAAGCCCCCGGGGTCTGGGGAAACCCTGAAAACTGATCCAGGGCTGACGTCAGCTGAGACGATGAGGAGGCAGATGACTGCAATGTTTAGGGTGGAACCCACAAGCCTTGGCACTGAATGAGGGATCCCAGAAGGCCAGCCAGTCCCCTGCGCGGAACACAGCAGATAACCCAGCAGGCAGAGAGGGCTAGCTGGGACTGCAGGGAGCTGGGCTGCAAGGAGGCT